ATCTAAAGCAACCTGGAACACAAAAATATTGTGGCTATTATTTGTCCAGTAGAAATTATCATAGCTTGGCAGCATTCTGTGAAACTTTTTATATTCAATCTGCTTAAGGATTTACCCTCCCCCTGAACATTAGACTGAATGGAAAGGAGAGTGGGAATGGACCTAGAGCTGCTGCCAGTGCTAAAGGCTTTTATTTTGCTGTGTGGATAAGCAAGATGTTTAGTGGCATTTTGTAGGTTGCTGACTTCAGTGTCAAATAGGCCTTTTGAATATTAAATCTTAAAAAAATCTTTTTTTTTTTTGTTGATGTTTGCCTTTCATAATTTATTTCTCTACTCTTCATATATAAATGATTGATCAAAGAACTACTGTTGGAAAACATCAAGGACAATTTTTTTCTTCTCTTGCAGAATATGAGTTTATTTGGGTGAAAGATGGGAGATTATAAATGTATTTATTAGCCATGCAAGGAAATTTTCTCTCACAGACACACCATGGTGGTACCTCCTTGTGCAACCAAGTCCTCTGTTTGGTCTTTCATTCATTTAGAAAGTGAGTTTCTTGCCTGCGTGTTTGGATGGGAATGATTCTGTTGTCATAGCCAGGTGCCTTAATTTACTGAACAAGGGGAGGAGGACACCCACGATGTAAAATCGAACACTGAACTTCTCTGTGTGGACAATCATGCAAGACACAGGCAACCTACTGACCTTGTCTCTTACCGTGAGCTCTAAGCAGCAGCAAGAGCAGAATGACTGCACTGATGATGCTCCTACATTGCTCCCCTGGGAATAATTGTCCTGCCTCCTCACTTCAGAGAAGAAAAGAAAAAAATCCCAGTCTTTTTCTTTAGAGTGCATATGTTTGAGAATTTTTTTGTAACTATTTGCTTGGAAATAAAAGGCAGCAAGGAATTATCTGGAAGATTCTTGCAAAGACTTCACTAATGGTTGGTGGTCACCTGCAAAGAGGCTGGCTAGGCTCCTGGCCACCAGGTGAGGCTTGCCTCCATCATCTCTTGAGACAGTTGCAGTCCCAGTACTGTTCCTGGTTGTTGTTCTCTATTTTTTCTGCTTGTACCTCCTGCCCAGAACATCCCTGGCTGAGTAAGCTTCTCTGGATTATAGCTTTGACCCTTCAGACATGAGAAAGCACACAGATATGTATGCTTTCTACAGTGTGCCTAAATATTTTGCTGCTTTTACTTGAAGAAATCATGAAAGGGAATGGTTTAATAAAAGACAAACAAATCTGTGAATGAAATACTTCAGTTATGTCTGTCCCTGAGTTGATTGCCATCTAGCCTCCCTGAGGAAAGTGGGTGTGGCACCGTGGGTGCCATGTCTCAACTGGAAGTGCTGAAATGTCCGCCAAGCCCTGCTTCTCCTGCTTGAGTTTTAATAACTTCTGTTCTGCTGCCAGGCAATTCCTATTTAGCCAGTATCAGATGACCACAGGTACAGACTTCATGGACGGGTTAATCTCCCCTCTCACAAGTCCATCTTTCCTAGCCTTTGGGGAGGTGGAGGAGCCTGGAAAGCCAAGAAAAGATAAAAGTGGGTGTTATATTTATGAAGCTGATGCAGATGTACTCTTTGGCATACTGGTCAGCAATGGGTTCCCTAAGCCATCCCACTAAGAAAGGAGGCCTGGGGAGAGTTAATAACAAGATAGGATATAAACCCATAGTGTGTGTGTGTAAGAGAGAGACAGCTGGTTTGGCAGGATTGCTTGTTTTTGAGAAAGAAGATTTCATCCTTTCCTATATTGGCAGAAATACATGTGCCCTTTCATGATAAAATTATGTATCCCAGGTATATCAATCTTCCAGGTTCCTTTTAAAATATGCAGCTAAGATGGGATCTACTGAGAAAATATGAATACAGTGGCTGGGCATCCAACAGGTGTGCATGAGGTATCTGGCTTTATGGACCAATAGAGTCCAGTTTGATAGATTGCTCATAGTATTTTTTATAAAATATGCAGAAATATAAAAAAGGGGTTTTCTGAGGAGTGAAAAAGATACCCATCATGGTATATGATGAAATATGCTCCTTTGAACTAAAGCTATAGTGGTAGGGTTTACAGCAGTCAGTCGCAATCAAGCTTAACAAGGATCAGAGAATGTAAGCTCCCCTAGAAACATCTATAGAATTATAATGCTCTAGTTAATAAAATAGATATTTAAAATAGAATAGTCAGATAAATTAAAAGGTCTAATTTAAGCTGGTAGGAGAAAGATGAAGGAAATTCTGCCAGCAAAAAACCCCCACTTTTCTTCAGATGCTGCCTTAGTAATTTGCCTTAGAGGCAAGTATTATAAACCTTAAATCCCTCTCAGCCTTGAAATGACAGAATTATGTAGAAATTTACTTGTACGTGGAGACCAGATTTAAACCTTTATTTACTCAGGCTCAACTGCAGTCATGCCATATGCACATTCACATTACACACATGCTCCTGTGACATGGACTGAGGTGCTATGAAACTTTTATTGACATGAATTGTGTGTGAGTTATTCACTCACTTTGAAGAGCTTAGAAGCTGTATTTTTTGCAAACTATTCTGACATCTCTCCTGCATGCACAGTACTACCAGGGTGGCACTGGGTTGCTACATAGAGTCTGTAGCCGCAGGTTTGTTTTATGGGAATCTTTACCCCTATTA